ATATAGAAGAGGCTATTTATTAAATACCCCAAATAATTGATTAAAAAATAATTTGTAAAATAATTACTAATTATAAAAAATGAATTTTATGCATAAAAATGTTTTAAAATATTTATTTAGTGTTTAAAAATACAAATGACTAATTTTTGATAAAAAATAATACGAAAAATGTGTGCTTGGGCTATAATTGCAAGGTTATTGCAATTATAGCCAAAGGGTGCCAATTTGGCTATTTGTGAAATAATATGGACTCAATAGGACCTATAATAGTAATATTAAATCAGGACATGTTCTAAATTCATTTGTGATGTAATTTTGCAATTATTTATATGAAGAAAATATTAAAATAAATTATTTTAAGGGTATAAAAATTATGAAAAAATACTCATTGATGCTAATGCTTGGTTTTAAAGGTATATATGCATTTTAAAAAATATTATAGGAAACAATTGGGTATCAAGAGTAGTTTAGGGCCCAAAGCATGCTTTACTTGTAATATTTGCAACCTTGTGACAAATTTAGAAATGCTTAAAACATATCGAACGTGTAAATGAATTTCCTAAAAGGCTAGATATCATTTCTTGACTTTGAAAAGAGAAACTTGCCTTTCGAATACTTGCTCCTTGATGAATTATTGATTTGACTGTTGAATGTGTTTACCAATTGTAGAATGGGCCGAACGCCTCGGTAGATTAAATAGATGCATCTATGGTTCGCGTCGGTCGACCCTCTGGCAGTGCACAGTTTAAATATTATTGGATGGAGCCGTACGACCTCGGCATGATTTGCGCATGCTTGTATTGTTTGCCTTGAAATTCATTGATGTTGAAAATTGTTTCTCCCTGGTTTGAGATAAATGCTTAAACGATGAAAATGAATCTGGAAATTTCCTATTGATAAAAGAATCGATTACATGCTCCATGCTATTGAGTTACAACCATTTTTATGAATATCCTCAATTCACTATATTATTGATATATTATTATTGGACCACTAGCAAGTGTTGAAGTCGGCCTCTCGTCTCTACTTCTTCGAGATTAGACGGGATACTTGTTGAGTACACGTTGTTTTCGTACTCATGCTACACTTGCTGTGCATTTTTGTTGCACAGGCACATGCATCTCTAGTGGTCTAGTGAGCGTAGCAGCATGGTTGATACGGAGACTTAGGTGAGCTGCACTTCTCGAGACGACCCGCAGCCAGCAGAGTCTCTTTAAGATTACTGTATTTACTTTCTGTCCAATTTGTATTTCGGACGGTTGTTGTATTATATTGCTTCCTAGAGATAGCTCATGCACTTGTGACACCGGATTCTGCGATGGTTATGGGATTGTTCAATATTAAATTTGTTAAAGACATCATCTTATTTCAGTGAATTTCATTATTTATTGTTTAATGTATAAAAGGAATGATTTCAATAAGCCCTAAAACGAGAATTTAATTAATTTCTTGGTGTTGGCTTGCCTGACAGCGTGTCCGGCACCATCACGACCCTTAGTGTATTTTGGATCGTGACAGCTTTAGCATCTGATTGTTACCTATACCTTTTAACTTCTTTCAATGGATATTAGAAGGTAATTGATTTTTTTTTCATTACTTTTTTTTCGGTTGGAAAGAGAAATTCTAAGTATTTCTTTCTTGTCTTTATAGACATTTTTCTCCCGTCACTAAATATTTATTCTTTTGCTTGTTCTTTTTTTTTTCCGGTTACTTTCTTTGTAATTTTCTTTTGTTGGACTCTATATGACAAAAGTTGAATTGTTCACCTGAATCAGACGTTCATTACGAAGAAATCCAAGTATGTGTCTTGTCTTTATAGACATTTTCCTTACGTTACAAACATATATTTTCTTTTATTTGTTTTTTCCGTTACTTTTTGTTGTTGTTTTCTTTTGTTGAATTCTGTTGCCTTTTTTTGTATTTTTTTATATTGGACTCAACATAACAAAAACTGAATTGGTTGACTGTATTAGGCGTTCACTACGAAGAAATCTAAGTATTTTTTTCTTGTTTTTAAAATTTTATTCCACATTACATAAAACTTTTTTATTTTTATTTTAGTTACTAGTGGAATCTCTATTATAAAAGTATGTTTTGGAAAAAAAAAAGTATTTTTGATACACGTGTTTTGCACGTCATAAATGATGTATATCACATGATTTCTGCAACATCTATCTTTTAATTTTTGTTGTCTTTATTTTTCTCAATTTTCCTTTTTTCATTAATACACTACATCTTTATTAAATATTTATTATTATTTTTTTCCGGTTACTTTTTTTTATATTTTCTTTTTTGTTACTAAGAAATTCAAGTATTTGTCTTGTCTTTATATACATTTTTCTTACGTTACAAACATATATTTTCTTTTACTTGTTTTTTTGTTAATTTTCTGTAGTTTTTTTTGTTGGATTCTGTTACTTTTTTGTAGTTTTCTTTTATTTGACTCGACATGACAAAAACTGAACTGTTTGACTGTATCAAGCTTTCATTACGAAGAAATCTAAGTATTTCTTTTGTCTTTAAATTTTATTCTACATTACATAAAACTTTTTTATTATTATTTTAGTTACTAGTAAAATCTCTACTATGAAAGTATATTTTATAAAAAGGATAGAATTTTTGAAACACGTGTTTTGCACGTCATAAATGATGTATATCATTAATTTGTGCAACATTTATCTTTAACTTTTGTTATCTTTATTTTTCTCAATTTTCCTTTTCCCATTGATACACTACCTCTTTAATAAATATTTATTCTCTTACTTGTTTTTTTTTTCCGAATACTTTCTTTATATTTTCTTTTTCAGTATGATGAAATCCAAGTATTCGTCTTGTCTTTATAGACATTTTTCTTACGTTACAAACATATATTTTTTTCTTGTTTTTTCCGTTACTTTCTTGGTAGTTTTTTTTGTTGGATTCTTTTGCTTTTTTTTTTTTAAATTTTTTTTTGTTGGACTCAACATAGTAAAAACTGAATTGCTTGACTGTATCACCATTCACTACGAAGAAATTTAAGTATTTTTTTTGTCTTTGAAATACATAGTTTGAACATCAAATATGATGTGTACTCCTTTATTTTTATCTCTTGCTGAGTATCATATTTCACGCAGTACATAGGATGTAACATACATACATATGTACTTACCTATTTTTTGAGAACATGTTTCGCCCAATACATAGGATGTATCGCACATAAAATATGCTCATTCATTTCTGAAACACATGTTTCACGCAATATGTAGGATGTATCGCACATAAATATGTACTCGTCCATTTTCGAAACACATATTTTCTGCGCTACATAGGATGTACCCCATATAAATATGTACTCATTCATTTTCGAAACACATGTTTTGCACAGTTCATAGGATGTATCGCACATAAATGGATACTCATCTATTTTCTGTAACACATGTTTTGCACAGTTCATAGGATGTAGCATACATAAATAGATACTCATCTATTTTCAGTAACACGTGTTTTGCACGGTACATAGGATGTATCGCATAAATATGTACTCATCTATTTTTGAAACACATATTTCGTGCAGTACATAGGTTATATTACACATAAATATGTACTCATCTATTTCCGAAACACATGTTTCGTGCAGTACATAGGATGTATCACATAAATATGTACTCATCTATTTCTGAAAACATAGGATGTATCGCACTTAATATAAACTCATATATTTTCTGAAACACATGTTTTGCAGTAAGTACATAGGATGCATCGCACATAAAATGTACTTATCCATTTCCGAAACACATGTTTTGTACAGTACATAGGATGTATCGCACATAAATATGTACTCTTCCATTTCCGAAACACATGTTTTGCACAGCACATAGGATGTATCACACATGTTTTGTACAACACATAGGATGTATCGCACATAAATATGTACTCTTCCATTTCCGAAACACATGTTTTGCACAGCACATAAGATGTATCACACATGTTTTGTACGCACATAAATATGTACTCTTCCATTTCCGAAACACATTTGCAAAGCACATAGGATGTATCACACATGTTTTGCACATCACATAGGGTGTATCGCACATATATATATATATATATATATATATATATATATATATATATATATATATATATATATATATATATATATATATGCCATGATACCTCAAGCTATCTTTGCTCTTCTTTAGATCTCCTTCTTCACTACTACACCACTTATCGCGACTATAAACAAGCTTCGTGAATATATTCAACTTCTTGTTTTCTTTGCACCCTCTGTATCCCTTGTTCCACCTTGATACTAGCTTTCTCAGTTTCCTCTTCTCTACTAGTCACCGTCGAAACTCACCACCAATAATTATCAACAAAATCCACTATTAAACCACCAATCACATTCAATCCTTTGGGAGCCAAGTTCCCTAAGCAACAAAGTTAAGAAAGTTTCTGTGCAGAACTTAATTGTCAAACTTAAAAGCATATGCTTTTGACCATATATGAGCAGAGAATAAATTCCTCTCCAAGAGGATTTATTGAAACATGTATAAGAAGTGGGAACAATGACTGTCTTAATTCTCCTAAACCTAAACCCTCAGAATGCTATCCTCTCTATCAACTGGCCTAAATGGAAAGCTCGAAAACTAAGAGAGGCTCCTCTTTCATCTTTAGCTTCTTATTCAGCGGAGGCTAAGCCAGGAAATTTATGGGCAAATACAGCAAAAGCTCATAAATGTGGACCAGTAATTAGTAGAAGCTGAGGATAACAGAGAAGTAGAGAGCTTCTTCTGTCCAAGCCACCACTACTTTGCTTGCTCACATGAAGGCACTTCTAAAAAGAAGTTGCATGAATTAAACTTGAAAGCAGGGAATGATTCTACCATTCTAGTGCATAGAAATATATGTTAAAAACCACACGAGAGATACAGGAAGGAAACAATTTAACTGTAAGAGCTACTGGTTATTGCTAAAAACAGAAGTTCCCATTTTAAGTAGGTGTATAATTTTGAGATATCTAACAGAGTAAGAAGGTTTCTTTAATTTTTCATTTTATTGGTAAAGGTGTTTTATTAATGTGTAGCAAGGGACTGCAGAATATCACACAGAAAAGCCACATTACAAATTCTGCAATGAGCTAAAAAATTCGATCATGGCATCTATGTCATTTGCACTTGCCATGTTACACCAAAAAAAGAGAGTAAAGAAATGCATATGTATTTAATGCTAATTACAGAATCATTTTTGCTCTAAAAAATTCTTATGTTCCTTTCTTTCCATATGATCCACCAGATTACCTTGTGCTTTTCCAGCCCTTTCAAAATACCAGCATTGCATTAATTCTGTAGTTGTCTTTGGCATTGCCCAACTACCCCGACAACATTAACAATGAAATGCCAAATCTCCGTGGTGTAAGCGCAGTGAATGAAGATGTGATTAACAACCTCACTTTGACTTTCAAACAAACGGCACCTGCTGCAAAAATTGATCCCTCTTTTCTGAGGTTCTCTTGGGTTAGGCATGCTTTCTGCGCCACCAGCCAGGTAAAGCAGTCCACCTTTAAAGGTGCCTTGTTTCTCCAAATGCCGCTCCAAGGCCAGTTTGGGATGCTGCCAGATTCTCTTCTTAAGTGTTGATAAACAACCTCTCACCTTAAATCTCCCCTTTGCATCACTTTTCCAAGTAAGAGAGTCAGATTTAGACTGTAAACACTGTTGAACTCCCAGTAGTTTATGTTATGCCTACGACTGAAAGTCTAGCCTTGCTCTGTCCAATGATCCGCGACAGTGGCATCCTGGTTTTCCCCCCTTTAAATATCTCAGAGATGTCATATTGAGTTACAGAATCTAGCCAACTACAAGCAAAAATTCAAGATTAGTGATGTAAGAAAAATTGGTTTCTCAGACTCTTCAAATAGCAAAAACTTCTACTACAGGAGTCAAAAAGACTGTAGGACTAACATATAGCTCTTCTACAAGTAGGAGTTGATTTTTCAATAAGCTAGACCCATACTACGAGTTGTTTCATGCCATAAATAAACTCGGTCACTCAAGAAAGGAAAAAAGGAAAAAGGAACAGATAAGCCAGGTAGGACAGAGCAGATGACAATGACAGACCAAAGTCCGAAGAAAATCAGACAACAGAAACATAGAGGAGGCCACATTTATGCAGAAGAGTACCAAAACAACACCAGAAAACAAAACTAGGAGAGAAGGAAAAAAAATTACATTCATTAATTTAGAGTTTCACTAAGCACGAATAATTGCAAAGTAGCCCGGTCACCACCACCATCCAAACAAAAAAATAGAAAAAAGAAACCTGTATTTCAAAACACAGAATACACTAGACAATCAGATATGCACAATTTCATAACCCACTCAAAATGATAGGAAGAGAAAGAGGAATAAGCAGAGAAAGCATACTGTGGTCTCTGGATACCAGCTTCAGGGCTCAATGAGCTACTCTTTGCCGGCAAGAAATCCAAAAACTGCAAAAAAAAAAAAGTTTATTATTAACACAAATAAGAGTTTTAGAAAGATAAATGTATGAGAAAATTGAAATCTAACATTCATTGTCAAGCTCTTTGATGTTCAACCTGCTATCTCAATCTGTAATAGCCATTTCTTGGAGAAGATTGGATACTCCTAACTGTGCTTCACTGAAACAATCCTCATTCAACCACTTAAATACTCTTGATACAACTGAAAGCTTTTCTGAAAACCTAAGTCCTTTTGTTTCAACAACTTAAATGTTTCCAGCTCATTTGCCTCCAGCATGATGGAACTATCATTGAATTTGAGCTCTACTGGGCACTCCTCATCGAACAACTCCACTCCTATCATCTCTTTGCTAGTACTTGAGACAGGTTCTTGGTGTTTTTTATAAATGAAGGATCTAAATCTTTTATCAGGTTCTACTCCGACAGAGTCCATTTTAGAAATATTACAGTCAGAGAATGCCACGGGTTCATGCAAACAGAGAGGCTTCATTTTTTCAATCACATTGCTAGGGCATTCAGTATCTCGATCAAGGGAAACTGAATATCCATCACCAGGCTCAGTACCAATGTGTGACAGACCGATTTCATGGGCCACCTTCATAACTTTATCACTCTGAAGCCTAAGTTCAGCATCAAGTGGCAATATATCTCTTTCTGCTATTTGGAGGCTATTAAGAGCCACCAGAAAAGGAGGAGGAAGAACAGGAGCAGAAGAAGAACTAGGAGACTGAACTTTTTCCGATGTCTCATCAATACAACATTTATGCAAGGGAAAAGGCAGTGGATATAGTTTGTCCAAAATATAAAACAATTCTAGAGAACCTTTCTTTGGTTTCAGGTGAACTTCAGGGAATCTTGAGAAGGCAGAAAAAGACAGCCCCAGAAGAGTATTCGGCAAACTGGCGCAAATGCTTTCTAAAGCAATCTCATAAATGCTTGCGGGAAAGCTGATACCTCTGATAACATCAAAAACGTTTTGAGATGGCCTCAGTCTTGTGATGCCAGATTCTTTAAGCTTCTGACATATTTGCAGGTGGATCTCTGCTGGATTTTCTTCGGAATCCTTTTGGTTGTGTATGTGTTTCCTACTAAGGATTTTAGTTAGTGTTCCATTTAGATACCCTTTTAAAAAATCAAGGTTCAGGTAGTAAGGTTTCTTTTTTAATTCCAATTCTCCAATACTCATTTCATACAGAAGGTTATTTTCAGAGCACAGAGATTTCCCTCCATAAGGTGATTCTGACCTGTCTTCAGAGTCCCGTGCTGCAGTGTATCTCTGAGCTTCTAAACTGCCACATGACATTAACCTTACAAGCAAAAACCCAACAGAATTATTAGTATCATCTGATTGAATAGAAAGGCCATTGTTGAGAATGCCAAACCCCAAAACAATGACTTCCTTTTGCCTCCAATTAATCCAATCAGGAAGGATGTCTTTAGAGAAATCTACTCTCATAAGACAACTTTCACAACAACAATCACGACCAGAAAGTGAGAGGCCTGAAGGCTGTCCCCAAGCATATACCGATTTACTGAGCCTCGATATTTCAGGAAACTCACGGCCGTGATTGCTACCTGGCCCGTAGCAGAATAGAGCAAATTCACTGTCCCAAAATGATCCTACCAAAATGCAACGCCCTGATTCGGTAGCCCATGCCCATTTATCATCTATTGAGCTTGACCTAAGGTCTGACAATCTTAAAACAATCGTGTAACCTGGATTATTCAGGCCATGTACCCACCGCAACAATGGCATTAATGGCTTCCTCACATCACAAAGAAGAAGCATGCGACCAGAAACTGCAGCAAAACAAAAGGGGTCAGACTCCACTCTAGAGAGTGCAAGAAATCTATCAGTTTTACCCAACGACACTGCCTCAATCTTTAGCAAGGTGCAGACTTTGCCCTTCTCCGACCTCAAATCCACCAAAAACACAGCCCTTGAATTCGCAACAATCAAAATCTTCGGATGCCAGCTAAATTCACAGCTTAGCCACTCTCCATCTCTATCCAACTTATCCCACAAAACCTGCAATTTCTTCCCTTGCAATACATCACAAGCAAACAAAATCCGACTCCTCGGGCAAGAACCCATATCAAACAAGTACAAGTTCCCATTTTCCAACAACACAACACACTCTTCTCTCAAATGTGGACTCCAACAAGCATGAGAAACAGCACAACCCTTAAACAAGTTTCTATCAGCACCACCCACATAATCTACGGTAAAACTGCCAACACCTTTAACCCCCATCTTCACACTATACCAATGAACAGAATACAAAGTACAAACCAATAAATACCCAAAAGTAGATAAAGAAGCACTATCATCAATTTCACTAACAGTAACTGGGTTCACTAATAACCTCAAAATCCTAAAATTCAACTTGTGATTATGCACTAACAAAGATTTCCCATTCTTAAATTTCTTAACCACAACTTGTTTATCCTCAAAACATAGTATAAAATACCCAACTTGGTCATAATTTTCCCCAGTTGGAAAAAATCCAAGAACCGAATTGGGTTTGTTAGTTTCACAAATATTAGGGAAAGGGAGCAATTGGATTGCATTAAAGTTGTGAATTGATTCAGAAACCTGTGGAGTAACAAACTGTGTAGCAATTGAAGAAGCTGTAGAAGGATGTGTACTACTTGAAGTTTGTAGAAATCTTGGTAGAGAAAACTCAGGAACTGGAGGAGGAAGCCGAGTTGATAACAATGGCGACCGGAGGAGTAGTCTTAGGGTTTCTGCACATGGCTTGAAAATCAAAGGGCCAATTGGACTATCAATACGGCGTCGTTTTGAGGAGGAATTTTCTTCGTGTGAATAATTTGAGAGTAGAAGTGGTGGCGAATAGGATGAAGATATTGGCCACAGAGACTTCCACTCGTCCGAGAATTCCATTGCCGGCGGAGTTCCGGCAGGTGAATGGCGGGAGAATAAGCATTTGGTTTCAGGGAGAGCAAGGAAGCAAAGAACGAAGGGAGTATCGTAAAAATCAAAAAAATTCCATATTTGGTCCCAAAACTTCTCCTAATACAAGTTTGAGTCCAAATTGGAGAAGAATAAAAAAGAAGTCCAAATGGAGCATAATAATATGGAATTTGTACATTCCTATACCACATAGGAAACCTTTTTACCCTCCTTGTTTAAGGTTTGATTTAATTATAAACCCGTATACCAAATTACCAATCCTATACCATACTTAATTAAGGGTCTAATTAATGTGCAATTTTTACTCCTTAATTAAAGGTATCCATATATCCCACGTTTCTCTCTCCCCTTAATTCCTAAGATCTGACCAACGCCGTAAAAATTCCTTGCTTTTAAACAGATGGAAGTAATCTCTCATTCCGGCAAATACCAAATACCAGCGGCAAAATCAAATCAAATTAATCAAATCTTCGAAGTGTTTCTCTGCGTCTCTGTTGGGGTTAGCGAAGTAGAAGAAAGGCTCAAAGATGGAGAAAGATTTGAAAATGGAGGCAGTAAGCGAAGTTGAATTAGACGATGAACACAGAAGACTTCCTCAATCGATCAATCAACAATTCTCAATTGTAAATTTGTGGGGTAGCCATATGAATCTTCTGTAACCTCCGGCTCCATTTTGTCTATATTATTTCAATATTAAATAAATTATCTTTTTAGGCAATTTAGAGGTTCTTTAAAGGTAGAGATTCTTCAAGTGTCACACTTATCCGGCATTGACACACAAGTTCTTGACCAAACTAGGAAAAAACTTGGTTAACAAACATCTGACCCAATATAAGGGTGTTAAACGGGTGGGCCGGGCCTGTGTTATTTGAACCCGTACGGGTTTGGTTCCGGGCCGGTTCCGGGTTAGGTCTTAACGGGTTTAACGGGTTCGGTTTCATCCGGGTAAAAATTGAACCGTAAGGGTTACGGGTTGAGGGGGTCGGGCCGGGTTTATTATTTTTTTAATTTTTTTTTTGGAATTTTGTATAACTATTGTAAGTTATATTAATACTTTGTATTAATTTAAAGAATACAAGGAAGATGAGAAAAAATTGCACTTATTGGAAGTGCTACTTTTATTTCATAATTCAAATTTCAAACTTGCAAATTGAAAGGTTTACATTTTTAACAACAAGTAAATTCAAAGGTTTTGCATTGCCATAGTAAGTTCGTCATAATCAATATGAACTGAGTGACCTTCTTCTGGAGTGTTAAATTCGGATGGGTTACCATGTGTTAATATATCTCCAAGTTCCTCGTCTTCTGGGCTATCAACATCTTCACGTCCTTGATTTCTTCTTTCCGATCTAATCCAATCTCTGAAACATACTAAAACTTTCAAAGCATTGCTTCCCAATGAGTGACGGGTGTCTCCAAGTTGTTGTCTTGCTTGGCTAAATGCACTCTCCGATGCAACAGTTGAAATTGGCACATTCAGCACGTCCCGAGCCATTGCGAAAAGAACAGGAAATTGCTTTCCGTTCTCATGCCACCATCCCAACGGTGAAAATTCCTTTGTGCGAGGCTCTTTTTGCTTCTGCAAGTAGAATTGAAGTTCATCAATGTTCCTGCAACTTGTTTGAGTGTTAGAAAATATAGAAAAAATATTAAAACTATCATCAAAGCCTTCTTCATCATTCACAGTAGCAGAAGTGCTACATTGCATAGTAGGATTAACATTGCCTACAGCACGAGCAGCATCATCAATTACATTTGCATAATAATTATATAATTTCTGTAAATAATCATTTAGGTTGTTCATAGAAACATATAAATTTGGGGTTTCAGTTTCTCCAATCTCCATATAAGTATATAAAGCATTCATTAATTGGTGACAATCAGACATCTTAATAGAAGGATTTAAAACAGCACCAATTAAGTAAATCGGAGGAATTGAAAGAAATATTTTTTGAATTTTGCTTGCATTTTTTCCACAACATCCTTATATTTTTCTTTCTTCTTAAATTCAAAGAGTAGAAAAGAAATTTCAGCTATATGTACTAAAGCCATAGTAATAGTAGGGTAATATGCTCCAGAAAACTCAATAGTAGTTGTATAAAATTATGTAAAAATTTAACAACATCATTAATGACCTCCCAAGTACTAGTTGTTAACATACGGCTTGGATCAGTACAATGCGCTATTAGCAAATGACATGCACACCTAACATGGAAAATTTCATCAAGAGGTGTTGCAAATGCATTTTTAATATTGAAATTGCGGCATTGTTTTGTTGAAGCATTATCAAAAGACATACACAATACCTTTGCTTGAGATTATAAAATTCAACAACTTCAAAAATAGTACTACTTATAAATGCAGCAGTATGACTCTGATCTTCATCATATCTAAAAGCGATAATACGTTTTGCATACAAGTAGTATCATCTATCCAATGACATGTAATTGTCAAATAATCACGTCTATTAACAGCATGGCCAATATCAGAAGTTAGAGAAACTTCTACAAGGAATGTGGCTAAACAAAATAACGTATATATGTTTGATATTGTCATGAAGTCTAAGATATCAGCCTATACAAGTACTTCTAGGGATACCTTTTAAATAAAGATTGTAAATTCTTTGAATATACATAATAAGATATGACGAAGAAGCAAAAGAAAAGGTAGACAACCTAAAGCAATCATTTTTGCTAACTCCTCACGTCCTTCATTTATCATATTTAATTAATCCTCCAGTACTAGGGTTAATAGTTGCTTGATTTTCATCACCATCAGAGCCCCATGTCTATGGGATGTGCAAATTCTCATATGTCTACTAAGCGTTCCAGTTCCCCTAAAATTTCCTCCAGTCAAATGTTTAATAATCATCTTTACAAAGATTTGCAATCTAACTCTATCAATACCTTCAATTATTTCAAAAAGATTCCAAACCTTACTTTCTTTTCTACGATTAGTAGTCGGAGCCACAGGTGGTCTACCAGTAGTGGTGCCACGACCACCACCCCTTGTAGCACTAGCACTCCAATACTTACCAACTCCAGCACTAGTAGGTGTAGCTGGTATTCTCATCTTCTATTCTATTTCATTATCTTCTATTCCAAATCTTCTTGTAATTGTTCATAATCTATATCTACATTATCATTAGGCGATGATTCAGAAACATGTGTAAATGATAATGGGTTTAATTAGTATTACCATAGAAGCTGAAAGACTACCTCTTTTTTTTATTTCCACTCCTACCAGTAACTTTTCTACATGCTCTTTTAGCAGCACTAAACATATTGTAAAAATTAAAGTATAAGCTAAAATTAAATATGCAATTAAAATATTAAATAGAGAAAGAGTTGGAGGAGGTAGTGCACGAATTCGACCAATAATGAGCACTTGATTACGCCATTCCGGTGTTACCACGAACAAACGTCAAGCAGGTATTTAATTTTGAACTTCAAACTTCAAATTCCGATAAATTAAATTCAGGAAAAGAGAGCCAAATAAAAATTATATAAATTAGAAGATGAAATCTTGCAAATTGAAGAATGAGAGAAGAAATTGAGAATTTGAGAATTGAGATTGAGATATGAAATTTGAGTGAAAGAATGAAGAGGGGGGGGGGGGGGGGAGGGTATTTATAGATTTTAAAAAGGTTAATTTTGTAAAGTGTTAAAAACATAAAATTAAAAAAAATGGCCATTTATGCAATAAATCCGTTGGCCAACGTATATTTCAGAAAGCCTGATCTCCAACGGATAGTGGGCCCCATTTGTTCAGCAAAATTCAAAAAAAATAAAAAAAAATGTTACCGTTAACCGGGACGGTTCCGGTCCGGGTTAACCGGTTTGGGCACTGTTCACGCCAAACGGGTTACCCGGGTCCGGTTAACCGGATCCCAAACCTAAACCTAACAAACCCGTCCTACCCCCTACCCAGCCCACCCGGACCTATATGAACCGGGCCGGTCCGGTCCCGATTTGTACCGGTCTGGGCCGATCCGGTAACGGTCTGACCCGGCCCGTTTGACAGGTTTAACCCAATATAAGTGTGACAGTGTGGGTGCAATTGTAGTTTATTTGTAGTTTTTTGTAGACATTTTGTAGATGAAGAGCAAATTGTAGAAATGTGACATCCACAATTAATCTGCAAATTGTCTATAAAATTTTACAAAAATTACAAATTAACTACATTTAACCTACATTATAACTACAATCTGGAAACAATTTACACATGGAAGTTCTTCAAGTTGGAATTGGCCACAGCTACATTTCTTGTTTTCTAGACACACAATGTACCGCTTCACACCATCCAACACAGTATGTATATGATCTGTTGAAGCCCTCACCTACATTTTCAGAACAAACACAAAGAAAAAAAATTTACAATATTAAAAATGTAGTATCTAAAATATATCTACATTTTATCTACAATTTATCTACAAATTAACTACAAACTATAAGTAAACTACAATTTGCATACAATTTATCTACAATCTGGAGACACTGTATATTAAAATATTTTTTTCCTGCACCAAATAAAGAAATTATAGTCAAATTGTAGATATATGTAGTAAATTTGTAGATAATATTATAAAACTAAGAAGACCTATTGCTGTTATTTTGTTCTTCTCATTTTTGTTGTTGTTCACAAGCTTTAAGTTATTGTCATTGATCTGCTTTTGAACTCTCCACTTTATGTCCATTTAATTGGTGCTTGTTTTTTGAATCAGATATGACATCATGCTAGCTGCATCTTGAGGAAAGCAAAGCAGATAAAATCGTACGCCATTTTCTTTTCTAGAAAAATGCAGTTAAGATGTGGTTTAGCGATACTAGAAAGGACTTTAATTATTGACTTCATTTTGATCTTAGCCTTGAAGATGTTGAAGGGGTTGCTTAGTTGCGGTGGGAGGATCAGTAGAAGATGAGGGTATATGTAGAGGGTGGTGGATCAGGATCCTCAAACACCCCTAATCCTGCTGCAACGGAACTTGGTATTGAAGTCTCTCAAACCTCCCGTGATAGAAGAAACGACGAAGAACAGATTTTTTCAACTTTGAGTTGTTGAATCTCGAAAATTTG